GAATTGCAATTAGGGCTGAGTATTGCCCAGTAAAATTACATGCACTATGTATTGGAAACTTTCTTTACTTATAATTTTGCTGATTTATTAACACCTTTTGCAATTACAAATAAACTTGTAATAAGGATAGAGATTTGTTACTGACTCAAGCAGTTTGACTTGCTTTGAACTGGAATACTGTTGACTACAAAATGATGATCAATTTTATACCCATGGTGATCTTATTCTCTTCTACCTCCAACAAGTGAAGTGGTTTGCATTCTTAATTAAGTTTATTGTCTCTTTTCACAGTGGAAATGCACCTAAAGTATCCATCCGTTTGATTGTCAGAACATAATTGTGATTGTATGAAATCATATACTTCATCCCCAAGAACTAAGAGTACATAACCTCACTAGTCACCATTATGTTTAGTTTTTTTCTGATTTATAATTAATGTCATGAACTAATGTTTATTTTCATCAACAAAATTGCAGCAGTCTTATGAAAATTTGTACGGAGAAAATCCACCGAATGATATGAATTGTACTTTCAGGTTTCATACAACAACAACAATTTCAAATTAAAAGGTGACGTACTCAGTTATTGTACCTGATGATGTCTAACATTCTAAATGAAGAGTAGTCCAAAAAAAAAAGCTGAAAATAGGATTAATTAATCTGCAAATTCCATTGATTTCCCAGCTCTAGTGCTTATGTTTGTTGACATTAACATCATATCAAGTCATCTTATGGAAGTATTTTGCAAAAACATTTATCTAGTGGTTTCAAAGTTTCCTGCCATTCAACTTGCATTAAATCCAGTAGTAAATATTTTCATTTAACAAAATATAAACTTGAATTTTAATGTGTTTTTTTATATATGTTTATGATTGCAGTTTACTTGTTACTAGTGCACAGTATCACAGTAATGTCGTTTTTTATTTTATATGTGAAAAAAGAAACAGTAGACTGAATGCAATATATGCAAATCTATTTCTGGCTTATACTATGGCAAACACAGTGGTAGATTTGGTGTAAAAAAACATACCAAAATAAGGTTTTTAAAGGAGTAAGAGTAGTAATATTTGTACTTAAAGTAAACTTTCCAAATCAGATTTACTTGCAACATTAATGTATTAAATAAGTACTGTTCCTATTTTCTGCATACTATCGTTGGTAAAAACTAACATTATAAACTAATCTGCTTATTCAAATCATATGTGATAGCAAAATTTTGTATTTTGTGTAATAAACTACAATAAAAGTTTCACAAAACATAAATTTTATTTATTCAGACTTTCTATATATCAGGTACAATTTGAAAAGATGCAACAAATGAATTTAAACAACTACGAAATATATTTTATTTGCAATATTGGCACAATAAAAGCCACAAATTACATTTTGATCTATTAGCTTTTCCTTATATAAAACTAACAAAACTGGTGGCCACTATATTTAACACGCACATTTTCGTTTTTCAAATGGTAACAACATTTAGCAAACTAAATAAGTTATCACAGCACTTGTCCTTTCTAAAAGAAAGCTAAATTTAATGATATTACTACCTGACTGAATCTAGGAACATACATGTACAGGTTTTAGAGACAAGTCAAATATTTATAGATGTAGGATCTTGATTCACACATTCACAGACACAAAATAAGTATGTGATAAATTATCAAAGTTCACGTGTATTTATAAACTAAACAGCTACACTTCTGTGTAACAAGATTATTGAAAAGAAAAAAATAACTGCATTATAATAGCTGTATTAACTTCCAGCAGTCTACAGGATATAATCTAAAGAAACTAAACTATTTACTTCTTTAAAACTTGTTGGGTGAGAAGGGACATTCAGCACAAAATTAAGAAAATTCTTTATATTAACTCTACCTTCTTTGTCACTGGAACTTGCAAGTACAAAAATATCCTTAGTTAACCTAGACCAGTGTATGAATACCTGTCCATTTTGTTCTGAAACACCTTTCACAACAAGTTGTGCATATCGGAACAGCTTTCATATTTTCTGATGTTCATGTTTAGACACCAAAGCTTCCAACAGTCGTAGTCTTGCTTTTATGTGCTAAAGAAATAATAATAATTTTTCTGTTACAGGATATCCTAGATATAACATGCATGCAAAAAATAATAAAATTGCTGGTTTTATGAATAAATAACCTTTAAAAGGTCCACTATAATATTACCACATTGGAAACATTTGTATAACTTCTGATTCAAACTGTTTTTGAGATGAAAACTTTCAACCTTAATAAAGATGTTTATAATGATTTGAATAAAGCATACAATGTCACAGTTTATGTTACTACTTCAAAATATGCAACAGCTAATGCAAGTTTACATTGTGCTGAAATGTTAATGTTTTTGCTCATTAGGAAGTGGCTATTAAACAAAAACAGTTTAATTTATAATCACAAAATTGATATTACTTTTAAACTTGTAACATTAAAACTGTATTATTGGAATTTAGTTTTAACAGCACTCTGTGTGTGAAATAAGTGCTTCAAATCAATATCACAAATAATTCATGTCTTTCAGATCATTTAATATTTTCCCTATTTATTACACCATCATAAAGTAATGCATACAAGTTTATGTCTACATTGATCTTTTTCCTATAAATTTTACTTATTCAAATTGTTAAATAAATATATTTGTTTATACATAACAGAGTGGTTTAAAGAATATCAACATAGCTTTCCAGGATTCCTGGACTCTTAAAGAAATGTACTGCAGGTACACACCTTACTTAATACGCTTTTGAAAAATACAATAAAACTATAGATGTAGTTCTATAACCACAAGTAGATACATTCTACTAAAGTAACATTCACAAGGTCTCCCGACTTTTATTATTCACCTTATAAGTAAAACCAAAGAAAATGCCTACTTTATATTCTCCGTACACAGACTCCATTGTATTTCTATCTTCTTTTTGCACTTTCCTGAAAATATTCAGAGAAAAATATTTTTAAAAAGATGTGTACCTGTTTCTTATTAGTCCATTAGGTACAGATAAAGTTAAAGTTAGATATCATTGAGCTAAAATGAAAATTTATAGCATCTATTCTTGTTGCTTTGACAAGGATATGCTATAAACTGAAACTTGCATGCAACACCCTTCCTAGCACGTTGTCTTTAAAAAATGTAATTCATTCTAACATTTGCTATTGCATTATTTATAAACAGAAGATTCTGATTTACTGCTTTCCTTATGAGGTGAGCTTATTCTCACAATCAGTTTTGAGTTATTCTGTGTCAATTTCATAGGTTGCTATCACACACTATGCTTCAACCATGTGAGAAAAATATTTTTAACACACACACATATACGTTAGCTAGAAAGCCAGTTAAATAATAATAGTTTTAACTTACTGATTTTTTGTTACATGTTAATATTTTCTGTTTTAAGTTGCAAACTTAAAAGTTAAAAATACTACCAACACTCCTACAAAACAATAGTGAACTTTCACAAAGACTGAGAGCAAAAAAGTACAAGAGTTACACATAAGTACTAAATTTCATGTTTTTATGTACATTTTTTTATTTATTGTGATAAAAGTAACTAAAACAAAAAATTTAGAAACTTATTAGGTTAGATAAGAAAAATTAAAAGAAAACAGTTAATGAAAAATACTAGCACAAGCTAGTCTTGTGAGCATAGCATGTTGTAATTTGACCAAGCATACTAGTAACTCAATGCTGTTTTTATACAAAGCCTTCTAGTTCTAATAATTTGCTTTGCCTGTAAAGCAAAACATTAAAATAATCAGAAAACTCGAACTGTATTTGCTTTGGCTGTAAGCATAAATAATATGTAATTATCTTTAACAATATCCAGTCATTCCAGGAAAAAAAACAACAACATAATTTAGATTTGTTTCGCATTTTTTGCAGTGGTTACAAGGTCAATTGCAAGACCAAGCCTGTGTTACAGTGTTAAGGTAAAGAAATAAAAAAATATAGTTTTACTGAAAAAACTTTTGATGTTCATTTGAGGTTATACAAATGAAATTCAAAAACTATAACAAGAAAAACGTACTTTTAATCTTAACACATAAATCACCTTGCACTTAAGACTAGTCCAGGTCTGAGTCAAACTCCTTAAATTCACAGATATCTTTAGTAAAAATACTTTTATTAGAAAATATGATCAAATTTTGTGTGTACAGAAAACTAGTAATGTTTACTAAAAGCTTTCCAAAGTTCTTGAAGATACACTTACAACATTTAAAGTTGTAGTATATATGGTTACATGGTAGTTGCAAGGTTGGTTAAAATGAGCAAGTCTGTACAAAGAGAGTTAAACACTCAAAATTAGTTTCATGTTATATGCTGAGAAACACCAATAAAATAACTGACTTTGGTCCAATACTAAAAGGACTCCACTACTCATACTTAGTTTTATAATTTCCTTCTGCATTTATTAATATTTCATTGCATATTATGTTAACTTTTGTTTCAAGATGGATTACTAGATATTGAATGGTGTAAGTTCCCATGTATGCATTCTATAAAAACTCCATTTTCTCCTTTGAAAGTTTTACAAAGTTTCAAATAAAACTTTTAAATATTAACTTTACCTTCCAGTCTGCTTTAGAAAATCATCTTCAAAAGCACGTAAAACCCTACGTAACCTTCTTTTCTCCGTTCTTGCCTGATGCTGTTGATGCAGTAACTCAGATCTAAAAAACACACCATAACACATTAACTTATGAAATAATACTGAAGTGATCTAGCAGTCTTATACGTAATTATGTCTTATAATTTTGCAATTTTTTAAATATTCAATGTTTTAAGTTTTCACTTGGTCATTTGTTCTTAATGAATAAAAATTCATGCAAGTTAGATTTTTAAATCCAACGTTAATCTCCATAATCAATAAATCTAATTATATTAAATACTGCATCTTAGTCTTAATTCTGTATTTTCACTACAAATTTTAGAAAGTGTCATCATTATTACTTAAGTTTCCTCATTTGAGATAATAAGTTTCACTTACAAAGGAAGCTCATGCAAATTAGAACTGTCATATTTTGGAAGGACAACAGACTTGGATTGCTTGATAATGTCTTGTTCAGTGATACCAAGATTTATAGAAACATCTTTTACTACTTGCAACTCCATCACTGGGTCAGCAGATAGAACATGATTTTCTGTCACTGGAACACAAGTTAGTTCTTCTTCCTGCTTCAGAAACAACCACCAAGTAATGATGGATTACTTTACTTATTTCCATCTATATTTTGCCCTAGAGTTAATTTCTAATTTGAATTCAATGTTGATGTAACTTTCAACCTAAGGTAAGATGTTCATATTGAGGATAAGAATGAAAACATAAGGTAAAATATTAAAACTTAGATTATCATCACAAAATTCTGCAAAATAAACTACTGCAAGTTTCTTATGCTACCAAGTCTTTTGTGCCTTAGCAAGCACTTTACCTAGGAGAGATAATATTGCACTCCATAATTTAGTCTTACATGAAATCTTAAAAAAAGGGATTATATATATATTTAAGTTACCAGAAATTAAAATGTTGGAAGATGTTTTATTGCTTCTTATAAGATCCATATTAAAATTCTGAAATATAAACTATATTACAAATACAGACTAAAAATTTTAATATTTAAGATTACTTTTTGTTTTCTAATTTCAAGTAAGTCCCATGTATTTCTGTACAAAAAATATCAGGAATTTGAAAAGTAGACCCATTCAGCAGTGTAATACAATTTTGGTTTTTGATAAGAACAGAATAGTAAATAAAGAGAGAACATAAAAGTCTTGTATGTTTAACATAGTAACAAAATAAAAGATTGTTTTCATTAGAGTATAAAATATATTCACCATCACAAAAAGTCATACAAAAATAAAATTTTCATATTTAATAGACACTATAATAAAGGACTACCTAGCATGCTTTTATTTTTTCCTATCTGTTTTATTAATAATCATTTCAAACTAACTTTTAACTGACACAAACCATTCCTTCCTCTCGAGGCTGAGGTGATGTAAAATCCATAGCTACATGTTCCAGAATTGGCTGTAACTCAGAACCTGTGTCTTTTCCCTTCCCTCCAAACCCTCCTAGTAAACTGTTTCTTGTAACTAATCTTTTCATGGTACGATATCGTTCATACAAAGGGCGAACCAGCTCTCTGTCAGAAGTAGGAGTAGGTCTTCCATGAATGCTCTCAAACCCAAGTAGAGCTTTTTGGATAGCAACTTTCTCATCCATTACTTGTTCTTTAGACATTTCCTGGCATCATTAGGTAGTATATATCCATAAATAGAAACAAGAGTAACATTTTGTTAAAGTTTCATCTTGCATTAGAAACTAATAACAGTGAAATGACACTAAATATATAACATCTGATATGTCACCAAATTCGTTTATTAGCATATTTTACATAAAGAATGAATACAATCTAAAAGTTATTTTGTATCAATTATTACTCAACAATGGTATATCATAACTTTTTGGAAAACAAGTATTTAATTCAGTTTTACCTAAACAAATGAAATTCAAACTACTTCCTGTTTTAACAAAATCAATGTACATGGAATACACTTGAGTAACTTTCTAACCTGATTAGTAGAACAATGAACAATTGAATAGGTACTAAAAGAAGAAATATAACTAACTCCCACTTGCTTTTTCTGTCTAATTTATTTAATATTCTTGCAATCTGAATATATTTTCTAATATTCATTAGGAGACATTTGCTGAATATAAAAGTTTCAATTAATTTTAAAAAATCTTCAACATTTTGTTACATTCACAATGTTTAAACATGTATTATGTATGTTTTGATAAACATTCTTCACATCTTATCTGCAATGTTATAATTCTGAATTTACTAAATTTATCTTCACAAAATTTGGCAAGCTTTTAATAAAACATTATAAGTCTGTAGTGTGCAAAAAAAATTGAATTTTAATAAAGTATTTCTTCTAAAGGTTTATTTGTGAATTTCCTAAGCCTTTACTGAATCAATTTAAGTGAAAGGTGATCATCATGCTAACAATAAAAATACTTTACTAAAAGAAAAACATTTGATATTCATTTTGGAGGTTTTGCAAAAGAAATATGAAAACTATGACATGAAAAGAAATATATTTTATCTACACTAACTGTTGTGAAATCATCAATGTACAAGGAAATTAAGAGTTGGAACTCACACCAAATAAAATTAATAATACCTTTTTTGTTTCTAGAATGACAGCAGATTGTAACATACAATAACAACTAATTATCCTAACAGGAAAAGTTTGGAAGCTGATGCAGAGAAAAGGTCCAGAAGTACTATAATAAAACCATGAAAAGCAATAAATCTGTGATATTTCTGGTAGATCTTAGGGTAAATAAACAATGAAGTTACAGTCTTGCTCTGTTTGCAACATTGACTGAGCTCATAAACTTTTTCAACTACTTAAGGTAAGAAGTTTAATTTTTTTTTCATTTTAGTTACTTGTGTTAAAAAATATGTAACAATAAACAGTGCATGAAGTGTGGGGGGAGGAAGTGGGATGGTTTAGGAAATTTTTGAAGCTGAGTACCATATTTCACGTTTTTCATGTGTATTCTTTATTTATTATTATAAAAGGAACTAAGATTAAAAATTAGAAACTTATTAGGTAAGGTAATGAAAAAAAATAATAATAAAAATTATTCATGGTAACATGAACTGCACATTTACCAAGTGATTTACAACTTGTATAGCACAATTATTAGTTAGACATGGTTCAAAAGGCAATAAAAATAAGTATAAACAGATGTATACTGTTACAATTCTAGCAAGGAAATGCTGATGGTTACTTTGTGATTACAATTTATTTGCTCCATTCATGTACTACTTGGTCTCCTTCCTGCCTCACTCTTATATGACATATAAAATACATATATATATATATGTATATATATATATAGTTTCTCTCCCCAGTTCCTTGCTGCCCAAATATTTATTGAAAAAGAAGTGGGATGGCATCCCACTTAAAGCACAGACAATAGATAAAAAATATACATAAAAACAAGATATTCAGCACTTACATCTGGGTTGAGACATTTTGCACATGCATACCATAACACAGTAACCCTGTTTTATTATCACTAGGTTAGTTCTTTAAATATAAATTCATATTGCATTTAATACACAAAAAATATATCAGGCACTAGAATGGAATGTCCTAAAACTACTACTATAATTTAACTGGCTTCTAACTAAGCTATAAATAGGTTTAAAAAATTCCATGATCTGCTAATAGTTGAACAACAATGATCACAGGAAAAGATTCTAAGCCAAATGTCTGCATTTACTCACTAAAAAGAAATAACCAAATAACCTTTTTGTAAAGGAAACAATGCTCTTTCTATTGGTTATAAACATATCCATCACATAAGGACAGTGGACAGATAAATGCTTTGAAAGCACTGGAAAAGTGGGAGAGACTTCTCTGGTGGGTTTGACAATTTATTTATATCTCAGCAAATTGAGAAGGTAGAGGGTTCAAATTTTATGTTCTTGCTTGTCATTATGTGTCATTTGTGTTTTTAATTGGTTGAACACTGAAAAATATAAAATCTATATGGGAGAATTCAAAGCACAGATATGTCATATGATATAGAGAAGTGGCATTTAAGATTTTTTTTTAATTTCCTTTTCAAATTAAGAAATTAAAGTTTAGATAATACAAACATTTGGATCATAAACTATATTTTGAAGCCAAGTTCACTGACATACATTGATAATAAAGTTCTCTACTTAAGATTTGAATGATCTCTGTAAAAGGCCATGGCATCTGCACTTTGACCCAGTCGTGCATAATTACATGAAAAGTTGCTAGCAATACATTTCCTGTCATTTTTTATCTGTATATTTCCTAGTTATGTTACACTGACTGTAACTTTGAATTGTTCATTGAGAAGGAGCTACAATCAAAAGTTGGAGAGAGAGAGAGAAAAAAATTATATTGTTAAAAAATAAAAGATTATCACCTCTATAGCATCAGGTCTCTGAGCTAATTGCCTTTTCTCCGATAAATCTTTGAGAACCACTTGTAATGATTCTTCCAATGTTGGTTTGTTTAGTTTTTCTTTACATAAAGTGTTGTTAAGTTCCATCTCTTTGCAGTCATTCCATTCCTCTGAAATTATTTCATTCTTCATGTGAAACCTCGCAACTCCTTCCACATGATCCAAGTGATGTTCTTGTTTCAAATCTAGAAAATTAGTATTTGTGCACTTAAGTACATTTATATGTACTATATAACATAACTTCATTTCAAATCATTTCACAATATTCTGCACACATTTTATAACAAAGAAAGCAATTTGAAAAATATCTGTTCTTATTCACTCTAAGATTCTCCTTTAAAAACCTTTGTCTGAATGTGTACACTACATATCACAGTTATATTAAACTATCTATAAGAGTATATTGTAAATCACTTAAGATATAATAAAGGCATTAAAAATTATTTTCCCAAAGGTATTTTTTACATTCACTTTTTGACAGGAGCTGCTCTACTGTTCAATGAAATTTTGTCCAATCACAAGAGAAAATAAAGTAATGTTAGGCAAAGGCAAAAACTAGAAAAACCGAGTCACAAATCAAAACAGAGAAAATATTATAAGAAAAAGTTATGATGAAGTATGTGTGTGTATGCATATATAGTAGAGACAGCTGATATTGGTATTAAAAACATTTATTTAAAACACAAAACAAGTAACATTTCAATCTCCTTAAGTCATCATTAGGAAAAGAATGACATTTGAAAAACGACCAAAGATGAGAGGTAGTTCCCAAAACAACTGATCACAGAGCCCCAAGATGGCTGGTATTTTAGGAAGGAGGCCACCAGGAAAGGTCCCCAAAATGTCTGCATAATTGAAGTGTGTCAAATGGAGTTCCCCAGATAAAAGAGAGAGATTTTAACTCCAGAAAACAAGGTATTCCAATAAAGTAAATCCCAGAACCAAAAAAAGTGAAATGGGTAATAGCTGAAGAAGAAAACAAGGCAGTAGGAAGAACAGGTTAGTGTAACTTTACCCCAGGAAAGCTGTCAGAGTAGAAATGCAGAGCCTCAGAAGAATATAGGGGATAGCAAGTTAAGAATTTGAGTAAGCAAATGACAAAGAAGATCAGGTTAAGGATAAAAGAGTGAAAGTAAAAGAGAAAGGATAAAAACTACCAAACTAAGAATATAGATTCAAGAGATAGGAGTACTAGAAAAATGATGTACAATGGTGGTAACTTTGCTCAACATTTGAGTAATTCCAGTTACCATTGTAAAAACCAAATCCTACAAAATAGTCCAGGCCTTGTGACATTTCAAAAATGTAGATAGAAGAAACCTTATGCATAAAGATTCACAAAAGTGAATTCATGGATAATTTTTTATTTCTTTTTTAAGTAGGTCTGATATGTCTGTCATACTTAGGCCTTGGTAATTTCATATTGAAACCCAACCACTGGGTTAATAACAATGGGGAATAGCCCTGTCAAAGAAACCATAACACAGACACAGCAACATGTCCTAAAATCTCCTTATTTGATTAGCAAAAGAAATCAAGTTAATGTAAGAAAAACAATAATTCTTAACAGAAGCTCTGACTGAAAGTTCAAAGACTTGTGGGTTTCTTTCTTGAAATCAAGAAAATAAAAAAGATAACATTTCAAATGCTAATGAAAGTTTAAAATAATAAGTGCAAAAATTCCATAATTTTTTATTAAAAAAACACACATGAATCACGGACAGTGTGATGGAATGAGCCTTTGGTATAATTAATGCTCTCAAAAGGAGTGCTATGCATGGAGCATATATGGCCCCCCTATAGAAAGAGGACTAAAGGCTAATGCTGACTGCATCACAGGTTGGTGCAGTACATGTTATTGCAAGTAGGGGTGATGTTTCATTCAAAAGCTTGGTATATATACAAAAACTTTTTTGGCATAACACAAGGTTATAACTCTCAGTACTGTGGAAAGATGAGTAATGTTTCTGAAATCTAATTATTTTCAACCATGAAAGGTTGCAATATTCAAGAAAAAGAGAGTGAGCTGCAACTAATTTAAAGGGAGTCTAATTACAAAATGCTGAGCTTTAATTTTTTCAAACACAAGTAGTTTTTAACTGCAATTTAATTGTGTACTTAAGCTGTATGTATACATTTATGATCAAGAAAGTGGTTAAAAGTAATGACAAATGGCCACTTAATAAATCACTTTAGGCTTAGTGTTTTTTTTGTTTCTTATTAAATCTAATATGTTTTCATTTTCTTATTTAATAAGCAAGAAGTATGATAATTATATAAGATAAAAATCTACATTTTGTTATTTATCTGAACAGAAAGATATGGTGTGATTAAAATGTGTGAATAGGTATTTAAAATAGTACGTAGAGAAAATCATGTAACAAACAAGATTAGTATTATCCATATATAAACATACGGACACTAGACTGGTTCATTCAACCGGTTTCTGAAAATGGCACTGAAAAAGTATTCTGAAAAAGGTAGGGTCAGGTGACAGTGGCGTAAGTATGCCCCCACAAATGTAGGAAGCCCCAAAGAGTCTGACTAACTTAAAAATTGCTAACAAGGTAAATAAATGTAGGGGGCCAAATTACTTCTTACGGGGAGGGGAGTATCTTTTGTAGTTACGCCACTGTCAGGAGAGCATGGTGGGCATGCATAATAGATATGATAGCTGGGTTGCTACAACCAAGCAACCATTTCTCAACTGAAGATTGCTAATGTAACAGATCGGAGAAATTTTTGAAACATTACTTGCTACAGTATCCAATATACCATTATCAAGGTGGATACAGTAATCATAAATGATGATGGTAGAATACTGAACAGTTGATAATAGTGATGCCCTATTAATCCTACTTCCAAAACCCATCAGAATGCATTTCTTATCCAAGTTTACAAAATAATTCACTTGCATGTACATGTTACAAGTACCCAAAATGTCTCGGTAACCACCTTATACAAGTATGCTGCTCATTTGACAGCAAAGAATATTGTAGGGAAACAATAAAGTATAATTTGACTTTTTCAATGCTTCCACGTTGAAAAAAATATGAAAAAAAAATATTTATGTCAATCAAACATGCTAAAACTGTCAAACTAGGTAGCACAAACTTTGTGGTAAATAATCTACAGAAAGTAATATTTTTTTTACAAACATTTTACCCTTAATATTTTTAAAAGTTTTTTTCTCAGAATGTTAGTAAAACATAGAAGTCATATATCCTTTTACAGAGAAAAAATCACTAATGCTGTACTTAAGTTATATTTAGATGGTTTTTAGATAAACATAAAATTAAGGTCTTGGTGTATGAAAAACATTTTTACAGGTGATGTGAAACATGTATACACAGGTTGAATACGTTATATCAAAATGATTTTAGTCTCACCGCAATGTTACTGTCCATGTTGCCACATCCAGTCATGATGTATCTGACAATTGTGCATCTTTATAATAGCCTTGCAGCATAATTTCTATTGTAAAAGGCATCATCAAAAGACCATCATTTCCCAAGCAAACCAATCCTCAAAACAATTTTCTATAATCTATCTAGTGTATGAGAATGACAGTTTTCCAGCACCCATTTCAACAACCTGATTGCACATAAATCCATAGTTGCTACATTCAGCAGTTAAAGAATGAAATGGGTATTCCTGCTTGAAGTATGAGTAACATGTGTACATGATTTTTGTCCCTTTTTCAAACAGAGATTATTCTTAATTATTTTGTATGCTGTTGCCTGGGTCATAGGAATGATCTTTGCCACTGGCTTTTGTCCAAGGCATACCAGTCCTTCCAGAAAGCTTTCTATAATCCATCTAAAGTACATAAAATAGAGTTTCCTAGTACCAGTTTCAACAGTCTGATTGCATGGAAATTCAGAGGAGTTGCATCCAGAAACTTGACTAGTATATCTTAATATAAAATAGCATGAAAACCCATTTCATTCTTCAACTACTTGAGGAATGAGCAACATGTGTACATGACTTGTTCCTTTTTCAGACCGAGATCATTCTTGATTATGTTGCATAAGCCACAGGGATGGGTTTTGCCAATGACCTTTGGGTTCATGGATTCTCACCTATTATAAATGCCATACTTTGCTTACTGCAGCTGGGACTAGACTTGTTGCAGGTCTTTCACTGGATGATCCTGGTTTCCCAAGCTGATCAATCTTCCTATATTTTCAAGTACCATTAAGTATAAAGAATATCCCCACCTTGGAAATATCTAAATCCTTATCTTAACACACCTGTCTGAACTGAGTGCATGAATATTTTGCATTGGAAAGGGCTGTTACATAGCTTTCCAAATTTTTGATACCATCAAACTACCTACAAAATACCAAACAATATCAAAATGTAGTTATGACAACCATGAATTTGTTATGGCTGCAGTTGTCATGTGGCTTGTCAATTTGTATATTCAAAATCATTTTAATATAATGTATGCATGTTTCATATTACACAACATACAAGTTGATTTAAACACTAGTTTTATTGAAGGATATTAAACTGGTGTTATAAACAAATCAGCAATAACTAAGGGGACAATTACTGTGAAATTCATTAACACCAAAATTTCATATTTGCTGAGAAGTTCAATCAGAAATTACATCACATGTAAGAGTTAACAATAAAACTTACATTTCAGGTCTTTCCTGGCTTTGTTCAGCTCCATGAGTAGATTTTTTATTTCTGTATAATTCATCTTTTCTGCATGAGATGGCTAAATAAAATATTAAATTAACTTTTTGTTGCTACGTTAAATACACTTTTTTGATGAAGTATGTAATTCTTTTTTATATACTTTTCTAAGTTAGCATTAAGTATAAATAATAACTAACTTTTACTTGTATATATTTCAGTAACGTTAATATTGTCTAATCTATTTTACAGTTAAATAATAAAAGTTATTTATCAAAAATACTAACTTTACATAAGATTCTGAAAATTAACAAACTGCACAACCTTTAAAAACATTAAACTACAGCAGTAATTTGTAAAACTTACCCTAAACCCATGCTCCAATTCAAATATTTCCTCAAAATTTCTGATTTTCTTTTTCAACACTAGGAAAAATAATATATAAACAATTAGTTTCTATCCTTTTAACTTAAAATCAGGCTAACAGCTTTATTTTAATATTTTATCAGTTACATCCATTTCTCTTGTATGTACTGAGCATAATAGTTGCCAGTCCCTTGCAACAAATAAAAATGTTTTTTATACTTGGATATAATGTCTATTTTCTAATTATTTCAACTGTTAAGAAATATTTTTTACTGTAAAATTTTCAATGTATAATTAAGTTACAAGTATAATTTAGCTTTGTCTCCCTATTTGTTTTTCTTCTTGTCAAATGAATAAAACTGCCAATATACGAGATAATATTTTTTTTCATATTGAACATACTAGATATGCTGAACAGGTTCACTACAATCTGTGGAAAAATGCTTACTGTGAACTTTCTTGTTCACTTGTTTCACAGTTATCACTTCTTCTCGCCACTTTCGAGGACTGGAAAAAAAATATATATATATATATATTTAAAATACTATGAATTAACTAACATAGTTTAGTAAAAGAAGCTATGAATTCTCAATTATGCTCGTGCCCAACTTTGTAAAGCCTTCCCTAAGTATCTTTTACACTAATTGGCCAATTTATTATGATTACCATCTAACATTAGAATAGACCACATTTTGAAATGACAGTAACCTGGATTCATCCTGGTATATGCTCTATTTGATACAGGAAGGTGTCTTATTTAAATGTAGCTCACTGACTGAAGGGTCACTGTCCCTAGTTGGATCATAAATGTTGGCAGAGGATTTTAGTAGGGAAGCTTAAGTGGACTGAGATCTGCTGACTTTGCTGAACAAGGAAAATAACTGCATTCATTATATTCTTCAAATCAATTGTGAGTAATATGGGTGTAGTAAATAAGTGTATTATCATTTGGATGCATTCTTGTTCATAAATGCAAAAACATAGCACTGTTAGATGGGCATGATTAGTAACAATATGTCACAAAACATTAAAATAATTTCTTTCTCTCTCAAATACAAAGTGAAATAAAAACATTATTATTCACCAGATTTACTTAAAAAGTTCAATGGAAAATAACTTTCCAAAATGGGGAAAAAATCATCTTAAAATACTATTAACCCTCTCACTACAGGTAGGTCAAAGTGCACTTGTCATGACCTTTTACAGAGTTATATTCAAAATTTAATTAAACTACTTTATTATCATCAAAATGTTGTTAATAAATCAAATTTCAATATTATATAAATTTTAAATTCTTAATTTTATAGGGAATTATTTTACAAAAATCCTCAATCTTCCCCAGTATGAGAATCCCGACATTTGAATTTGTTCTCTATCTCTTCCCTTTTCTCCAATTTATTTATCACCCCTCTCTGGAATTCAGAATTTAACATAAATTACTCACTATGACATAGATATTACTAAGAAAAATTCTAATTTTTATGGCCTCCAATCCTATTTCTTTACAAAGTCATAAACTAGAAAATCAGACCCACTTGCCATGCCTGCCTGTTGCATCCTCTCTTTCACAAATTGCCGATATTGCTTTCTGACATTTTATATAATTTATAACCAATAGAAAGGCAAAATTTTAATCTATCAAATAATATATAATGTTACAATGTTTTCAGTACAGAGTATTGCCAATTTCTCTTCGGTTTGAAAGTTTATCTTGTGGTGTTCACATTGAACAATAAAGGGACTTTAAGCCCTCTTGTCCTAGTTAGAAAGCCAAATTATGGTAATTATAGGACATTACTTGCTTTGTATGTGTTACAATTCTGTGCTCTTAGGTGCATTGTTTAAATGAATAAAATTTATTTAGTGTACTATTTCCATCATTATAAAAAAGTAGGCTTAGATTTCATCAGCAATTGACAGCAAAAAATAAGAGGTCAAAGATAAGTACTATATTTCTTTTTTTTTTGCATATTCTATATTTATAGTTATAAAAGTTACTAAAATGTAAAAATTATAAACTTGTTAGGTTAGATTAGGTAAAATAAAGAAAAATAATAATGAAAACTGAAGCATTTGCAATATATTAAGCACTTTCAAATGCTTCAGGGAATAAGAAATACAATTTTATAATAACTACATGTATGACATACATTCATGCAATAGGAAGAAAAGTTAGTGGATACATAAGATAAGTTATATAACAATGCTTGACCAGGAAAGAAAATGTATATGTCAAGTATAAACTACACTGCATTCTAGACAGAATTGTGAACCAACATAAACAGATGCAACTGTAGCAGATAGAAAGCTATGAGAAAGTTTATACTAACTTTGTCAAAGACAGGAAACGAATTATATTAAAAGATTTAGAGAGAAAACCAGAGACTCTTGGTGGAACTTTGATCGAAAGGAAGACAAGGAGAAATACATGCAAATAAGTAGCCAATTTACAACTTTTGGCCATAACCAATTACATTTAATTTTGGTTTGATAAGACAGAGAATATCAACCAGTCATCTGAAGGATCTACTTACAAGACTAGCATGTAGAGCTAGTTGGATGCTTGTAGAAATACAGAAAAACGAATATACAAAGTCCTGTTTTTTTAAGAAGCTAACAAGCCTGCTGATTGATGATTCCTGATCCGGCTTATCCAGCTACCTCGACATTGATCTACATTACTATCCTGAAGAACGCAGAAAACTTCTCCTGCTCAAGCTCCATGTAAGTCATTAATTCTATCTCTCTCAGCTGAATATAATAATTAGAATTTAGATGTAAAATTGATTAATATTAACCGTATCGCCACAGGTATCCTTTACTGTGAATGACACATGGTTTTAGTGTCTTATATTTAAATTTTATTAAATTACTTTTTGTTTAAGTTACACCAATTAGAAGAGCATAAAATGTTAGCTAATAATCCATATTTTAATAGCATACAAATTGTAAACTCATAATTTGAAAAAACAATATTTAAAAAAAATCCTGAATTTCCCCTAGTGTGACCCACGTGACACATTTTCTCTTAGCATGTCATCTTCCCTATTTTATCCACCACCCCTCGAAAAGTACAAAATTAAACCTAAATTACTCTCTATAAAATAGACATTACTCAGACAAACCATAATTTTTATAGTCTTCAATTTTGTTTGGTTAGAGAGTTATTGAATAGAAAATCAGACCCCTCCTGCCATGCCTATCTGTCATATCCTCTCTCTCAGAATTCGTTAATAGTTCTCTCCTATGTTTAATTATACATTAGCTATAATCAATAGGAAGTCAAGGTCTTTATCTAGCAAATGACGTCTTGTATAATGTTATGTTCCAAATGGTTAAATGTCAATTTAACTCAAAGTACCAACATCGTTCCCTTGAGAAAATTAACGACCAGCTTGGATGAATTTGTAATGACTCTTGTCACATAGTTAGAAAGCCAGAAAAAATGTGAGAGGTAAGGGAATTTGTCTACTTTTTGCATGTTAATAGTCTATATTCTTTGGTGCATTATTTAATTAAATAAAAATTATTAAGTGCATTACTATTATTAGTATAAACAATTTGGGTTAACTCTCTTCAACAAATGACAGCAAGAAAAAAGAAGATTGGTTAAGTATTTTATTTCTTGTTTTTCTTGTTTATTCTTTATGTC